GCCTGGCCATTTTTTGGTTGCAGCCATCATTGTTGTTTGGCAGGCCCAGGCTGGGGATTCGAACCCGCCACCTCAGGTGTATGTGGCTGGCGCCTTAGCTTCTTGAGCCACAGGCACCGAGCCTGGAAGGAGCTTTCTCTCTATCTACATAAAACTGGACTGACCAGGTCAAAAGATCAAACGGGGCAACTGACTTCCTTTTCTCCCCCTGAATGCCAGTAGACCAGCCTCACATCATTTAAAACACAATACCTGTCTGTCAAGTTAATTTACAAGGAATCTGTTTCCCCCATCTATTCATGCTCCCTAGCAATCACATTTTCCCCCTCCCTTCTAAAAGGCATCTATCTATAAAGGTATCTGATGATCCTTGAGACACTGGGTAATTACTCCTATGATTCTCTCCAAATGCATAGTATTTGGAAATAAACATTTCTCTCATTAATCTGCCTTAATTATGAGTTCATCTTTCAACAAACTTCAGGGAGAAAAGTAAGTTTCCTCTAGTCCCTATACTAGTCTCACTCTTGCTCAGCCTGTGATGCCATAGCACTCTACCATAGCACTCTACCCAGGGGGACAGCTTGAGGCTCTGTCTAAAAAAAAAAAAAAAAAAAAAACAACTAATAGTGTCTTGTTTCTTTCCAAAGATCCAAGAAACTTCATGGTGCATTTTAAAGGGAGTATGATTCACAAAACCCTATTCAAAGAAAACTTTAGAACCTATCTAAGGCTTAAAGGAAGTACAGGCTAGTTAGTCCTGTCCTGTCCTCAAAGAGGCTATTTGTTAAACCCTCAAGCTTCGTTGGTATTTCATTCCCTCTATGCTCTTATCTTTGAAAAATTACAGAATGAAGTAAGATCAGATCAAATTCGTACTTCAAAAAGTATAAGGAACTGGGCGGTGCCTGTGGCTCAAAGGAGGAGGGCACCGGCCCCATATACTGGACGTGGTGAGTTCAAAACCGGCCCCGGCCAAAAACTGCAAAATAAAAAAAGATTACAAAGAACCACACGTGGGTGGGGGACACAATTACAAGAGGAACTCTACCTAACATATGCAAATATTGTAACATAGTTGTTTGAAATTTAAAAAAAAAAAGGCTTGGCGCCTGTGGCTCAAGTGGCTAAGGCACCAGCCACATACACCTAAGGTGGCAGGTTCGAATCCCCAGCCCGGGCCTGCCAAAACAACAATGATGGCTGCAACCAAAAAAATGGCCAGGTGTTGTGGTGGGCACCTGTAGTCCCAGCTACTTGGGAGGCTGAGGCAGGAGACTCGCTTGAGCCCAGGAGTTGGAGGTTGCTGTGAGCATGATGTCATGGCACTCTACCCAGATAGCTTGAGGCTCCGTCTCAAAAAAAAAAAAAAGAACACACAAAAGCAATGTATTAACTTGTTACCATAACTGGTATGGTTTAAGGTGGGGGGGGGGATAAATCTGGGATTCATGGGCAAAGCTTTAAAAGAAGGGGTGGAGTAAGGAGTTAGGAATGTAAGTCCTGTTAAGGCTGATTTAGGGATCCTGGAGGGCTGCTTACAGAGTCTGGATTTTATTCTAAATGTAACAAGAAGTTGATGGAGAATAAATACTACAGAAGGGACGACTGCCATCTAACCAGAGGTCAAATGAATGAATCCATGTAAAACACCTAGACCAACTGGTGGCTGGCATATAATAACCAAGTTAGTTCCCTTACCTCTTCACACCTAACAACCACCATATAAAAGCTCTTAACAGATATCAGAAAATTACCTATTCTCCAGCTCTCCTAAGCCAGTGCTACGCAGCTGCTTCCCTGCGGTTCTAAGAGACCTGTCAACTCTTTTTTTGGGAGGACAGAGTCTTACTATGTCGCCCTCAGTAGAGTCTGGTGGTGTCACAGCTCACAGCAACCTCCAACTCTTGGGCTTAAGTGATTCTCTTGCCTCAGCCTCCCAAGTAGCTGAGACTACAGAAACCCGCCACAATGCCCAGCTATTTTTTGGTTGTAGTTGCCAGGGCAGCTGGCAGGCCCGGGCTGGATTCGAAGCCACCAGCTCTG